TGCACAGAGAAATAGATGAACCCATTATCATAGTTGGAGATGTCAACACCCCTGTATCAGAAATAGATCCAGCAGGCAAAAAATCAGTAAGGACAAAGTTGAACTCAACAACACCATCAACCAGCTAGATATAATGGACATCTATAGATGACTTCATCAAACAACAGCAGAATACACATTATTCTCAAGCTCACAGGGAACATTCACCAAGATAGACCACATTCTGGGCCAAAAACCACACCTTAACAAACTTAAAAGAGTAGAAATCATACAATGCATGCTTTCAGACTACAATGGAATTAAGCTAGAAATCAATAACAACAACAACAAAAGGTAGATGGAAAATTCCGAAATACAACCCATTTCCAAATAACACATGGGTCAAAGAAGAAATCTCAATAGAAATTTGAAAATATTTTGAACTAAATTAAAATGAAAACCTAACTTGTCAAAATTTGTGAAGTACAGTAAAAGCAGTGCTTAGAGGGAAAATTACGGCACTGAATGCATATATTAGAAAATAAAAAAGATGTAAAATCAATGATCTAAGCTTCCACTTTAGCATACTAGAAAAAGAAAAGCAAATTAAATCCAGAGTTAGCAGAAGGGAAAAAATAATAAGAATTAGAGCAGAGGGACTTCCCTGGTGGTGCAGTGGTTAAGAATCCGCCTGCCAATGCAGGGGACACGGGTTCGAGTCCTGGTCTGGGAAGATCCCACGTGCCTTGAAGCAACTAAGCCCGTGTGCCACAGTTACTGAGCCTGCTCTCTAGAGCCCACGAGCCACAACTACTGAGCTTGCGTGCCACAACTACTGAAGCTTGTGCGCCTAGAGCCTGTACTCCTCAAGAGAAGCCACCGCACACCGCAATGAAGAGTAGCCCCCACTCGCCACAACTAGAGAAAGCCCACATGCAGCAACGAAGACCCAACACAGCCAAAAATTAATTAATTAATTAATTAAAATAATTAGAGCAGAAATCAATGAAAATGAAAACAGGAAATCAACAGAGAAAATCACTGAAACCAAAAGCTGGTTCCTTGAAAAGATCAATGAAAGTGATAAGCCTTTAGCCAGGCTAATTAAAAAAAGAGAGAGAGGATGCAAATTACTAATATCTGGAATGGAAGAAAGAACTATAGATCTGATAGTCATTAAAAACGTAACACAGGAAGGCAAAACACCACCAACTTTATGCCAACAAATGTGATAACCTAGATGAAGTGAACCAATTCCCTGAAAGATACAATCTACCAAAACTCACGTTAAGAAGAAATAGACGATCTGTGGTGGGAATGTAAATTGACACAGCCACTATGGAGAACAGTTGGAGGTTCCCTAAAAAAAGTAAAAATAGAACTACCATATGACCCAGCAATCCCACTACTGGTCATATACCCTGAGAAAACCATAATTCAAAAAGAGTCATGGGGCTTACCTGGTGGCGCAGTGGTTGAGAATATGCCTGCTAATGCAGGGGACACGGGTTTGAGCCCTGGTCTGGGAGGATCCCACATGCCGCGGAGCAACTGGGCCCGTGAGCCACAACTACTGAGCCTGCGGGTCTGGAGCCTGTGCTCCACAACAAGAGAGGCCGCGTTAGTGAGAGGCCTGTGCACCGCGATGAAGAGTGGACCCCGCTCGCCACAACTAGAGAAAGCCCTCGCACAGAAACGAAGACCCAACACAGCAAAAATAAATAAATAAATAAATAAATAAATAATTTATCTTCTTAAAAAAAAAAAAAAGAG